ATATATATATATATATATATATGAGACCACCTTTCTAATTTATTATTCATAGTATAAACTTTTGTATAAAAACCCTCCTCCATTTTCATCAGAGTTTCTTAAATTGGAAGTTAAATACTAACACATAAAAATATTAAGATATATTTAAGCAATTATATGTTTTTATAGATATTTTACAGAATTTAAGATTAAATCCTTTACCACATACTTAAAAAGATATTTGTTATCTATTAAGTGTCGATCATTTTCTTTCTCACTTATGTTTGTCTTACGAATTAAAAAAACTATATCTATAACTAAATATATTACAACACATTCTTAGCTACTATATTAAGTTTTATTTTGCATCAAAATATATTAAAATAAATTAATAATATAAAAAAATAAAAATATCTAGATCCAGTGAAAAAAAATATTAAAGCATGTAAAAATAATTTCAAAATGATATGTTATTGTTTGTGATAATTTCATATGTCTTAAATTATTTAAGTACATGTTCTAGTTTTGGAGGATTATGAATTTTAAGATTATGTTACTAAAGAAAGAAACACAGAAATGTTATACGAAGCAATCTACAAGCAATGCTTGTGAAAGAAGAAGATGGCAGCATTGGCCCATAAAAGATTGATCCAGACATGGATAATGAAACGAAGACCTAAGACTGATGCTAAATTAAAACTGCGACATTGTTGTACCTTTCATTATCAAACAACTAATGTCCCAACAAATTACGCCTCTTTTCTAAATTTTATTTTGTTTTTTCAATTAAACCAATTTAATGTTTGAACACACAGATATGATGTGAGATTAAAGAAATACCCTTTTCCATAACTACCATAAAGGATTACGACATCTTGTCATGTTAGTGACAATCAATATACAAAGGAGAAAAATTATTAAGTTTTTGTATTATTATGTTAAAATATATAAAATATTAATTTGTATGTTATATAATATACAAATTAAGATTTTATATATTTTCGATGAATTAGTCTTAAATGAAGTGTTCAATATGAACAACCTTTGAGAAGGTTGATTGGTGATAAGTTACATCATTGAGTGTCTCAGAAGATGATTGATCACTCATAATTTACAATTGTCAAGATAAAGATGTTTGATGTTATCGTATTCATTGTCATATTATTGAGGAAGAATTCATCTTATTGACAAATCAGATTCCCCGTAATAATGCAGCCGTGTAATTGGTTATGCATGGTGAGTGTGATATGTATCATGATTTAAATTCAATTATTTCACTTATAATCATACATGTGTGCTAACAAATGATGATGTAACAAGTGATGATGCATGTAGTAACAACCAAAACTACCTAAAAATACTAATAGATTTGCTTTAGATTTATTTTTTGTTATATTTATGTAAGATATTATATATAGTATATGATTATGTATATATTCTATGATATTACCAACTAGAATGTTAGGACGTTACGAATTACAGATATAATTGTGTAAAAAGTGAATTTTAATTTTAAAAATTGTACAAAATATATAATGTTTTAATAATTAAATTATTATTATGATTCAAAAATATTTTAAATAAAAATATTAAACAATTATCATGTAATTATTAATATTGTGATTGGTAATATACTTTGAACATACATGTCAAAACTACTACAAAGATATCAAATAATATTCTAAATACAAATTTATATATATATATATATATATATATATATATATATATATATATTCTTATACATAAATTAAAACGTATTACTATATATTATATTTGTTACATTATTTGATTTTATTCTAACTCAATTTTCTTTCAGATAAGAAATATCCTATACCAATATGGCGGGATATATGAAGAACGATATAATAATTCTAGTTTTGTGTAAAAGAAAAAAAAAATCCATAAGATACCTTCAAGTTACAAAAAAATAACTCATGAATCTTCTAATCAATTATATCATATTAAACCATTAAATATTTATTTTTGTAAGTGACATTAATTATCTTGTGACGAAAACCAAGTGAATCCAATCACAATTAAATTATAATGTTTGAACGGTTAAACTCTTAAGAAAAAGAGTTGTACTCTAATTAATAATTATAGTTTTTGTTTAATAATAAGCGTTTATCCAATAATTAATATCAGAGCTAAACGATCATGAATTTGATTTCTAGTAAAATGGATAATTATAATTTTTGGCCTAATGATATACATTCAATCCAAAAAATATGTCCTTTTAAGTCTTGGGTAAACGTAGCAAGAAAAAATAGTATTGTTTCTTTACAGTGAGATTCACAAATTCTTATACAGAGTACACCCAGAAATTGAAGGTTTTTGATTGTATTACTCTTGAAATCTCAATCTCTGTTATTTCTGACAGATATATAGCAACAAAGTTTTGCTGATCAAGAAGATCTTCATCCTTAAAAAATGCTACCTATACATCCTTGAAGAAAGCAACAACACCAATGAAAGAAAGGAAAGAGAAAAGAACATTATTACCAACAGATTTCGTGGACCCACTTTCTGAGATGATCTTGTCTTTTGCAAAAACATCATCAGAGTCACGAAGCCATTCTGGGTGGAAGCAAAATTAATTAAACGAATGGAAGTAGAGTAAAAGAAAGACTTTGAGCGTGTCATAGATGAAGGCTCTCACTGCACTCTTTTGCGTGACATAAACACTTCAGCCCTACACCACAGTTGCCATAGGGCTTTTCACGCTCTTTACAAAGATCTTCCACATGATTTGGCACATCAAAGGACATCCATGTTCCCAACACATACCCTTCAGCTTCGCCATTTGAGGAGCTTCTATGCATCCAGCTATAATGAGAGCAGTTCAAATGTTTAGGATGAAAGTCCTTGTTAAACTTTTGAAGATCCTCAATAACTAAACATGAATTTGGATTCTTCTCTTGCTGTTGAATCCTAGAAGAAGTTGAAGCAGCATGTCCACAGTTATGTAGCAAGCCTTTGCCATTTCGGATAAATGGTGGAATGGAATCTATTGTGCTTGAACAGTTGAAAAGAAGGAGTGAGTTAGGTTCTGGAGGAGAATGAAAGCCTGCAGTAACAGCCAGAGGAGAAATATAATGGAGAGAAGAAGAACAAGGGTGAGATATGGTTAGTAATCTAGCATTATAGTCAAGTGAAGAAACTTGGAAAAGTCCAATAGATGTTCTCAAGTAGAGATTCTGAGATCTGCATATGGTGATGTTGCTTAATAGGGACATAATAGAAGAATTTGGATTCAAGAAATGTGATTCAGTTTTCCTATCACTGCAGTAGTTGGTATGATTATGCTGTTCTATAGGAGTACATAGTGTGGTATGGAAGACGAACAAATAATAGAGAATTTGAACTTTGTTGAATGTCTTCATGTTCATCTCTTTTCCCTATAAATGCAACTCAAGAGGCTTCAGTTATCAAATTGTGAGTCATGTGGGGTATTTTATCTCCGAGGATGACACTATATAACAATGCATAAAAGTGGAATATTGAGAATCTTCAGCTTTTGAAATCAAGTTCCAAGTTGGCTCCATGTTAATAGCTGAAAAAAGGTCTTACTGCTTTTTTGTGGGAATCATTGAGCTTATATTTTTGTGATCTGCCATTCCTTTTGACATGGAAAACAACTAACTTGCATCAAGCTATGCATGTTCCGTACCATTGATTCTCATTCTCTGAGATGTAAAGTTGGCTTTTTCTATTTATGCTTCTTTAGGTAAAGCTGGTGATAATATAGTCTGTGTATGTTCTGGTACACCTGATAGTCTAACATTACTTATGTTAAATGCCAAATACTACCTCCTAGAAGTGTTTATCTATCAATTATAAGGCAAAATAGTTCATTATAATTCATAATCCATAATACTACGGGTTACAAATCGCATGAGATATTGCAGTAACAACAACTCATGGCAGAACTACAGATAGAGAAACACAAGCAAAAACATACACTAAACAAATTTGAAGAGGGTTTTTTTATTGGTGGAATATTATGTTGAGGATCATGCTGGGGCCTTGACAAGAGTAGATGGGAAATCCAGCAGCACAATGTTCTCAATTGCTGCTGAAAATGTTGTGGAGAACTCCACATGATTTGGATGGCTTTGAAATGCAGCGAAGTCTTCTTTCTTGTTGAATGTCATTAAAAAGGCATGAGTGAAACCTTGTCTCAGCACATCTAAGCTTTCAATGTCCCTTCCCCTTTTCAACATAAACGCAATCAAACACATGAGAATATCAGTATCAGAGCCAAATACAATAAACCAAAATGGAATTTTGTCAATTTAGAATCTCCATAATATGATTCTTTCAAGCATCAGAGATTCAGTTCTTATCAGATTTGTGTGTATGAAAGAACATTCATCTGAAAGAAAAAAGAAACCTCTAAAAGATAGTTTATGAAAACATTATGTAATAAAAATATAAGATTTGTATTCATGTAAACTCGTCTAGATATATCAGATATTCAATGTATTTATATAGTTCTCGAAAGTACTAGGTAAGAAAAGAGAAAACATACCATTCAAAGGACTTGACAGCATCAATCTCTGAGACCAACTTCTCCATCCCTTTGGTGAGCTCATCGACTGCCACACCTTCCTTGAACTTAACAATTACAAAGTGTTTGAATTCCCCCATTGCTAGCATACCACAAAGCTTGTTCCTTTAAGCCAAATATATATTCAGAATTTAGCTCACGTTCTTGATCTGCTGTTTGTCAGAACCCCATGACTACTTTCATTGCTATAGTGATAAATTTGTAAAAGAAAAAAGAAAAGTGACAGGAGACAGCATCCACAGCTGAATCTAAGGAAAGGTACTGATACTTTCAGCTTTAGACCCACCAATGCACATCTTCTTTCCATGGCATAGTAAAAATTGTGTGGTTCCATTGTCGTGGCACATGAATGGGGTCCTTGGTGTCATCAGCCTAGACATGTTTGAGTGATAATTGGCCTCATTTTGAATCACAGAACATCATGATTATACATGGAACAACTTTTCTTTCTTCACTAGCTTTTTCTTTTGTGCTATATGTGTGCAGAAAAGTGGTCTGATACAGCTTCAACTTTTCTCCATGTCCTTAGCATGTGCACCGTCTACGTAAATTATTGCCCTTGGATGGATCTGCTGTTTATCTGCTTCACCTTTACAAATTTCACTGTCTTAGGAACACAATTATGTTTTAAATGTATACTCAACAATTTAAACTGTTATACAAATTTCTTTTTTAATTATTCATCAGCTTAATCAATTCATATAAATTAAACCTCAGATAGAAAGAGATACAAAGATCAGAAAAATGTCCAGTTTCTCATCTTAAATTTGGATGCTAATTAAGTCTAGCATGACAGAATATATATTGAGTGAAATTCTTTAAAACAAGCTTATATTAAATTACAACTTTACTGTAAGTACCACATCGACTAGATAAGGTCAAATTATAAATTATAATATACAAGAGGTACAAACATTACTTTACATTATGGTTAAGTTTAAAAATCTATTTCTGATGGTATCAAAGTCATGGTTAGTATTAATCAACTTTAAAAAATTATGATTTTGTGTTTAATATTTAGCTTTTTTGTTTAGATTTACATTATTTAGCTCTAACTTATATGTTGTAAGCATTTAAGTTTAGGTATAATGATTTTTAGCTTTGTTTTCTCTAACTTTCTTTTATGATTTGGACCAAGTCTTACATGAAAGTTATTAAGGTTAATTATCTCGAAACTATATCCTGGTGTGATGAAACCAATCGAACCAATATTTGAAATATTGATAATATTCAATTATCTTTAATATAAAATGAATGGACGCATATATTTTTTTAATTGTAAGAAACATGAACCTACCTCTAAGTATATTAATTATAATTTTCTTTTATATTTTAATCTTATTTTGACTATATTAAAAGAGGAAAGGGTAGTTAAACTTTGACTTTAGAAATTGTGGGACTATTGGGTATAGGGAGACATAATCTTAAGGTATCATGAATAACAAGTTTGGTTTCGTAGACGACCATGCTTCCTGGATGAAAACGTTGTAACAATTTGGTTTTATTTTGAATCAATCATCTAATTTCTCTAATTTTTCCAGTTTCTTGATTTCTTCAATTTCTTTATTTATTAAAATTCTTGTTCTCAAGACTCTTGATTCTCGTTTTCAAAATTTTCATTTTTTAAAGTTCTCAATTTTCTCAAGATTCTTAAATTTCTTAAGATACTCAAATATCTCAAAGTTCTCAAGATCTCAAAATTCTCTTAATTTTACTACTTTTCAAAAATATTACTTTTAAGTTGAGCTTTTATAATCTCCATGCCCAAGGGTGTTAGAGATATCTTTGATATCTTCTTTCAATTTTTGTGATGATTTTCTATTACTTGTATATCTTTCTTTTATATTCAAGCATATATTTTTATTATAAAACAACTAAGTTCTTATACTTTTAATAAAATATTTTTCTTAGTTTTTTATCTTCTTTGTATTTTATGAAATACTCAATGCATCTTTGAAGCTCCACATGACAAATGAGGTATTTTTCTCTTTATCAAAGTTAATTTTAAATTATTTAAAAGTTGTGATGTACAATTATAATTTGCTTGTTTAATATGATATTATAAATTATATTTGTACTAGTTAGATGTGGAAGGATAAATGTGTGAAAGATGTGTGAAATCAAATTATTGAAGTTAGTTAGCAAAAAATAGTTATTAATCTTTCCTTGTATAATTATAAATATATTGTATGCATTATGAAAGGTCTATAAATTACGAAATTTATTATAATCACATTGTTTTTTAACTGTGATGCTTGAGTGTTAATATAAGTAGAGACAAATAAACATATTTCCTCAAGTATATTCTTTGATCAAGATGAATAATATTTGATTTTTTAAATTAGAGTTGAAAATAACATAAGTATTGTAGTATACCCTGGGTGATAACTCCTAGAGGAAATAAGGTCGGACCATCGGTTAAGATGAAGGGGCCCAGAAAGATGTGGGACGGTCGGCTAAGACGGAGGGGCCCAGAAAGATGCAGTTGGGTAATCATTGTTAATCGTTAGAGATCAATTAATGTTACCAGAAACAGAACGTATCGTTTTAATGACCAAATAATGAGCAATAGGAAAGAAAATATATGGCATTGATATGATATTAATTAGTGGTTAATGGTTGTTACGATGATGACTCGGGACTATAAGTAAAAGATTTAAGTCCAGGTAAAGACACATTTTTCTTGAATAATCTTACCTCGATCTCCTGGAAAACTATTCTGACTTGAGCGTCGGAGTGTTTCTTGCAGGGGACAACCGATCGGTACTGTGAAAGGAGCTTTGAGAAATGGAAGATCGGATCGACAGAACCAGGAAGCGAGAGAAACCGCAGTCTCGGACCCAGAATACTAAAACAAGTATATAAATATTCAACCATTCTTTTCCTCACACTTATTTTTATAATTATTTTTGTTTTATTTAACAAATTACTCATAATTTATTAAATAACCCGTTATTTCATTTATCTTAATATCATTTCATTTTGAAAATTCTTAATCATTTTCAACTGTTGTTTGACTTTTTTTAATATTTACAAGATTAGTTCTACGTTTTTATCTTATTACAATATTGATTAAACATTTTTTTTTGTTTGTAAAGTCTTGTTGAAATTATGTATCAAAGGAAACACAAATATCAATCTTATTAAATTAAATAGGTTTTGAATATGGATAAAGTTTCTTTAACAACCAAAATTTGTCAACTTTTTGACAACACGACGTGGCAGAAGAAAATTGGTTCATTTTTAATGTTACTTTTCCAAAATGAAATGTACGTTGAGGGTATTTTGGGAAGGTAGAGAGAAACTGGTTTTCTCCTTTTAACAGTTTCATCTGAGGAAGCAAACATTTATTTTCATTTGCGGTCCCACTCTCTCTCCCTTGCCCATATCTCTCCACCATTGGTCTCAATGGTCTCACTCCCTCCTCTTCGTCGTCTCTCTCTCCACCATTGGTCTCACTGTGTCTTCACCAGAATCTCACCGAATTGTTTCTCTGTCTCGCTCTTCCTCTCCATCGAAGCATATTTTCCCTTTTCTTCGTCTCTTCCTCTTTTTGTTGGCAGCTTTTTCTTGTTGTCATCTCCACCGAAGCACATTCGGCCTCTTCCCCATTGTCTTGATGTCCATCAAGGAGTAAAGGTGTGTCCTTTCTTTAAGGTTTCGGCTTTTCGCAATGTCAAGATTGGTAGCACCAATGTAAGTAACACTACATTTGTTAAAAGACTTTATGAATGTGTTGATGGTTTCGGTGTTGTGGTAATATCTTTAAGTTGATTGTGTTGATTTCAGGAGGAGTTGCTTGGATTTAAACAAAAATATGTAAGTGACTGGATTCTAGACAACGACAACGTGTGAAGAGAACAAGTGTTGCTAGACTTACAATTATTATAGGATGTTGAGTTGTTGTGTAGAGATTTTGATTATATGAGAGTTTTAAACCTTCTTAGTATAGAAAAAGACATTAAAAATGATGGATAATATGTACTTATTAAATATTATATCAATAAAANGGAGTAAAGGTGTGTCCTTTCTTTAAGGTTTCGGCTTTTCGCAATGTCAAGATTGGTAGCACCAATGTAAGTAACACTACATTTGTTAAAAGACTTTATGAATGTGTTGATGGTTTCGGTGTTGTGGTAATATCTTTAAGTTGATTGTGTTGATTTCAGGAGGAGTTGCTTGGATTTAAACAAAAATATGTAAGTGACTGGATTCTAGACAACGACAACGTGTGAAGAGAACAAGTGTTGCTAGACTTACAATTATTATAGGATGTTGAGTTGTTGTGTAGAGATTTTGATTATATGAGAGTTTTAAACCTTCTTAGTATAGAAAAAGACATTAAAAATGATGGATAATATGTACTTATTAAATATTATATCAATAAAATTTCAATTTTGATTAATACAATTTCAATTTTTTTATAGTTTTTCTGTGTTTTTGGCGAGTTTTTCCACTTTTTGTGACGAATGATTGAGTTTATTAATCATGGTTGGTGTTTACTTCACCAATTTACACTTGTTGAGAAAAATTGTGATTTAGGTGCTTTCATGTAAGTTAGATGAGCTCCATAAGCATTTATGTCCATTTTCTGCCCTCGTAATCGATTACAAGGGTCTTGTAATCGATTACCAGAGGAAAAATGGTCATTTATGCAGAACCTTCAACTATACTCCCCACACTCCCCAACTCTGTTTTTCCTACCTTTATTACTGCTTGTTTTGCTCCTAACTTTCTCCACCGAACTCCAAATGAGTTGATTCTTATTTTGTTGGAATCTAGACTCAAAGAGTTTTCAAATGACTACAAATTCATAATTTTTAGACCACTGTACTAGGTGCAATTAATTTCCCAAAAATAACGTTTTTTAAGCTTCTTAAATGAGTTTAATTTCAAGTTATTGTTTCATGTTTGTTATTTTAGATGAGTGAGTGAGTTTAATGGTCATGAGTGGTTATTAGTGCACCAATGAACATGTTAGGCCATTGAATTGTTGAGAAACAATGTCATTTAAGTGCTTTCATGTAAGTTAGATGAGCTACATAAGCATTTCTGGCCATTTTCTGCCCTGATAATCAATTACAGGGGTCTTGTAATCGATTAATAAAGAAAAAATGGTCATTTCTACAGAAACTTCAACTATACTTCCCAGCTGGATGAACA